AAAAAACAACTTAATACACTAAAACACATCCATGATGGAGAATACGCTCACAGACACGTACACAGATACCAAAATGAAATGGTTAAACTTTTTTATTAATGCTCATTAAGTATGATTACACGCACATGCAAGTGCATTTTGTTGCACATATAGATATTTGAAATCAATAGTACATAACAAAATGCTTACAGCAAGTCTTCTCTTTTTAAGAGTTTATATATAATTTTCAGGTTTTACTGTAATCACAGTATGGCAAAATTGTCAAAACTGATATATATCTGTATAAATGAAGTGGTCAACTTTGACTAAATGCTTGTTTTAGTGAGTTGACTGAGCCCATTAGTGGTCCTCTGCTGCCATCTAGTGGTTATAATTGCAATTTCATGGAGTTTAACAGAGGTATACTGTTTTGATCCTTTATAAGCATTGTAGTGCCATTTTTGTCCAATGTCCATAAAAGTTTGCATGCTTGTTTAGAATCATATGATGCATTAGTTGACATAGTTTTGTGGAGATTTGAGTTTTCTTTTAGGATGTATAGGCCTTTGGGTAAAGTATGTAAAGACCATATTATTAAATGGCCCTGTTATAACTGTCCAAATGCAAAAGTTCAAAATTGCTTGCAGCATAACATCAGTGTTTCTCTGTCCATCCTTGACTTAAACACAGGCTCTACTCTCCAGCACAATAGTAACCCACAAAACACACAACAGGAATTTGACTAAGTTTTACAGTATTTTGCTGTACAGTATTTTTTCATGATTTTACGGTAAACTACTGGCAGCAGGGTTGCCAGTAATCTACAGTTTTTTTACAGTATGCTTCCGTAAATTAAAGTTGCAGTATATTACTGTTAAAAGATGAAATCAACTAAAAATAAAACACATTAACTCTCAAGATCTCAGCAGATGATGATTAAACAACCCCAAAAACAGCATTACCAGCTTCACGTATTACTAACCAGTGTGACTTTATTTCTGTCATATGTGTACAAAAGTTAGTTTTGAAATCTTAGGTGTTGTTCTTTTATTTGAAGTCACCATAATGGTGATCAGTGTTTGGGAAATGGGAAGTTGCTTTGAAATTATCTGTATTGTATAAAGCACTATATACCTGTAAATAAATGTGATTTGACAAACATGAGCGCTATGACAAACTGCTGTGCACTTTACTTGCATTCAAAAAAATACAATACGGTGCTGTTCTTGTTTTTGCTTTTACTGATGAATTTTAGGAAAAAGGCTGGATCACTGTTTTTTTCTAAACGTTTCTGCTTAGTATAGCTAATATACTATAGGTATACAAGTAGGCTATATAAAACTGTTAGAATAATGGGTTATTAATGTTACGACCCTTCTTTTGGTTGTTAAGCGTCTAGGGACTAAGAAGGGGAACATTGGACCAGTTCAGACCAATACCAGCTTCACACTCGGTGTGTGAATGAAAGTAACTAACACTAGAGACTAAATCAAGCGAACTTCTTTTTTATTTTTTTTATTATTTTATTTATTTATTATTGAAGACCGTGACAGTTGTTTACACAAAACAAAAAGAGAAGTAGTATGTACATAAAAATAAAGAAAATTATTTACAAAAGAATCCTAGACACACCGGCAGCTTTACAATATTGGAGAACTGGGGAGGTTAAAGGGAACCTGGATTGTGCCAAAAGAAAAAAGTAACAAAACCATAAGAAATCAAGCTAACCCATAAGTAAGACTGGAGACCAAATCAAGCGAACTTGCTTTTTTATTGAACACCGTGACAGTTGTTTACACAAGACAAAAAGAGAATAGGGATGTATATAAAAATAAAGGAAATAATTATTTACAAAAGAATCCTAGACACACCGGCAGCTTTACAATATTGGAGAACTGGGGAGGTTAAAGGGAACCTGGATTGTGCCAAAAGAAAAAAGTAACAAAACGAAAAGGAATCTAGCTAACCCATTTTGGTCTAGTCCTAAACTAAAATAAAGAAAAATGTGAAAAGGAAAACATCTTCAACGTCCGAGACGTCGTAACTCAACTACACTAACTAACCAAACAAAAATACAGAAAGTGGCACCAATCCTTAACCTAGTGTGTCTAGACAACGAAATCAAACTACATGTGCACCATGTAAGTCACGTGACATAACTTACCTACCCCTTTACCTCCGTCCAGTTTTAACACATCTTTGAAAAAGCTTTGTAAGGCTTTCAAATGTCACAGATCAGGAGTTTCGGGCCAGCCAAGGAGGTAAGATATTTTACATGGCAATCAAAGCACATCACAAACTAAACCAAACAAACAAAAACACAAAGAGAAAATATCACAGCCCAAGTTCACCAAGCCGGCTTATGAATACACTGGCGTTTCCCTTATATAGCACAGCTGGACGTCAATCAGCGAGCGCGAGTCACCTGCAAAAGTAAAAGTAAGAGGGCGAGAGAGAGAACACGACAGGGGAAAAACTCAAGCAAAAGAACACAAAAACAAGAAAATAAAGAACTGGGGAGGTTGAAGGGAAACTGGATTGTGCCAAAAGAAAAAAGTAACAAAACCATAAGAAATCAAGCTAACCCATTTTAGTCGAATCCTAAACTAAAATAAAGAAAAATGTGAAAAGGAAAACATCTTCAACGTCCGAGACGTCGTATTAAGCAAACCCACTGCATTTGTATATGCGTACATTGCTTTGCAAACATACTGAATGTTATCTAGGTCATTTATCAGTGTTTTTAAAATTTTCTAAATGATGATTCAAACCAAAAGAGGCATAGTAGTCTTTTTCAAGTCTGTTGTTAATTGACATTTTGCTCGGCATTGTTATTCTTACTACTAATAGATTTATTTTACCTTGTAGGGTATGTGCTGTTTTAAATGAATTAATAGCAACAATGGCATGGTTAAACAGCATTCAAAGAAACACTTTATTGTTCTAAACTCTAAAGTCTAATTATAGGGAGGCAAATTTATATTAATTGACTTGTAACTGCCTGTTGAAGCATCATTTTTGAAGTTTTACACATGAATTGTTCTGTGTAAAAACAGTAATATCCGTCTCCGTCTGCTGGTCACTTTTAATACTCTTCGAAGTGAAATATTTACTTGAAATAATCATCAACTTATTCATTATTCTTGTTATGTCATGGTGGTGGTGATGCTATTTATTATTAGTAGTAGAGGTAATGAATTATTATTGTTATATATGATATAATAATATTGGTGTTATCAATAATGTTTTACTAGTAACAATACTACTGTAAATATGAACTAGGGCATATGTTATCAAAGAAATATATACCCTTACTGTCATATTAACTAAACTTTTAAAAATGCATAAATCATAATCATCATTTGTTAATTATTAAACATTCTAATTACTTGTTGCATTTTTATATAAAAAAGACTTAGACATGCACAGTTGATAAACTATAACACTTTTGGTGTTGTTTGTTGTTATGTCATGCTTTTATATGAAATATCTCATGTTTTGTATTTTTAATGTCTCATTGTCATTATTTGTTTCTTGCCCCTCTTGCATATGTAAGGTGGTTTCTAGGTATTAATTAGATGATGATTAGTAATAGCGGTCATGTTCAGAATTATTGGGAGAGTTGCATAAAGCCAGTATTTCTCCAACATTCTCCCTCAAAGTATTTATGAGGCCTGGTAAACTCTGACTATAAAGGAGCTGATTCTCTGCAACATTTTCTGCTGCCTTCATCACATCTTGCATGGCCTTTATCACAGGCTCCCAGAGGATGAAGCTCTGAGTTTGTTTCTCCAATACAGTGACTCTTCCACTAAGAAGAGTCAGAAGGTTCACAGCTCGCCTGACCGTTTCCTGAAGTTCAGCTGTGAACTGTAGATGCTGCTTCAAATCTTCAATCTCCTTCTCCAATTTATATAGCAACTTAACTGTCTCTTCAGTCTCATTCTGTATGTTAGCGATCTTGGATTGGTAATCAGACACCTTCATGCTGTTCTCATTCAACTGGGACTCCTGTTTTTTTAGCTCATTTTCAGCATCCCTGATAGCATTTGAAGCCTTAACAATTTCGCTGGCTCCCACAGACATCATTATTATACCTAGTGGAAAGCAAGAAATCTTATCAGCCACAAATATTGGTTAGTTGTACTTGTTAAGATGATGATAAAAAGTAGTAGTAGATACGAGAGGATTTCTCACCAGGAATCCATCCGATAATTGGTATTGCAGCCACTACCGCCCCTCCAATTGTTACACCTGTACCAGTGTTCTGTCTAGCTCTCTGTCTTTGTAGTTCATCGTTTGCTAATGCTACCATTTTTTTAGCCTGTTCCAAAGCTGCTTTAGAATTCTTTAATGATTCTTCAGCAGATTTCTTCTCAATGTCTAATTCACCCATTGCATTGCATTTTTCTTTGTTCTGCTGCTCAGCATTTCCCTTTTCTTTAATAAGTCGCTCCATGCATTCGTCTAAATATTTTAGTTTTTCCTTAATCATTGTGTCTGATTTTTTCAGGCACTGCTCAGCATGCTCAATATGCTTCCTGATTTGTTCATAATTACAGCACATGCCAGTGGTGGGATCAACTTCTGCATCCAAGAGAGACTTGGAGATGTTACAGATAGACACTATTCCCTCATTTAGAGACCCAACAACTTTCTCCATAGAATGCAAATCCATAACACTGCAAGTTTGAAGATAAGGAAAGAGAAAAACATTTCATTTTTAATTCACAACAACATCATATCAATAATAGACCATCATTCACATTTAATAAAAGCAATACTTTGTGAATACAGACTAGATTAAACTTACTCAGACAAGTGGAACTGTCTGAATTCAGCTGTCACAAACAAAACACAAAAATAAGAAATATGAATGATATTGTGTGTCCTTGTAAAACACTTATGTAACAAAGTTTTGGAGTAATTGTAAGTATTACCATTTTTATTTAATTTGAATTCATAACAACTCCAAAACAAATTCAAAGATATTTAACCTTGAGATAAAGAAACATCTCTTAAGGTAACTGTAGTATAGAGTGAGCCAATTAGCCAAGGATTAGCAATATTACACAAGTGTGCTGTTGTTCTCAATATCAGCACATGATAATATTCAGTCAAAATTTCCTTGTGCTTTTGTTTTGTGAACTTTTTGTTAGTAGTTCTTTCTTGTGTTCCAGTTTCCTGTTTCCCCTGTCTGATTGTTCTCACCTGTTTCTTGTTACACTTATTATTCTTTGTGTGTTTACTGTGGGTAAATCCCTACTCAAGGAGAGCCCTTGAAGTGGGGATTTTGGAGGGACTTGCGTGTGATAATGTTGGCATTTGGAACGCACTAGGAGAAGGGATCAATGAAAGACCATAATTGTTTCATTATGTTCCCCGGAATGTTACCATGACAATAGCTATATTTCCATCCAAAGTTGCAAATTTAACCTGTGCACAAAATTAGAACATCGTACAAAACATCTGCGAATAAAGCACCATATCAGTCACGTGTGTTCAGGAGAATGAAATCATCACTTTCTGAGAACCTGGGCAAAGTCTCAATTCAAATATATAATATATATATATATATATATATATATACGTTTCTGCAAGTGGGGAAAGCTCAATAATAAATGAGTTGAGACTCAAAGCGCAGACGATACTCGCAATAACAAATGGAGTCATGTTATCTTGTGTTTGGAGCTGGATGGCTCACAATCACGTGAGTCACTTCTGGGAGGTAATTATACAAAATCATGTTGATGATGGACTTTCACTTAGATATGTTAGAATTATTAAAACAACATTTGACATGGTGTGCAATGAGATCGGTCCTCTGTTTAGTCCAGTTATCCAATCGCATTGTCTGTTAAGACAAAATCACTTTTTTGATGCACATCAAGGAATTTATTCAATAAATAATAAGTAATAGGTAATATCTTCTTATCAGATAAAAACTAAATTGAGTGCATGCATTTTTCTATGCACATTTTTTGAATTTATGCATATCTTGGCCTTTCCATCCAGCATTTTTTTAAATGCAGTAACCTAAAATTTGCATTAATAAAGCTGGATGGAAACAGCTAATGCAGCTGTCCCTCTCTGCTCTAAACTTTATAAAACTTGATTTCTCATTTTTAGACACTGCAGGTAGTCACATTTATCTATGTTTGTTTGTTGCTGCCGTGTCTTTTGAGTTTGAGCTCCTTCAAGTTAAATTCTTTGTCGTCTAATTTTTTATCTTAAAATCAATTTTATACACCATCATTTTCGTTTCTATAACGTGTGAATATATCCCCCATCGTATTCTACAACAAAAACAGAGCGCCTTGTTATCACTAGTTTTATTTTGATTTCCCGAGTCCGCTATTAGCAAATAGCCCGCTAGCATCGCCAGCGTGGTTGCCGATAATCTCGCTTACATTACTAATACTCTATTCACACACATTACCATTGTTTTACTCACTGTTACTTGCTTCTGCCATATGTACATTAATTGACAGTCACCACTGATAAGCTACCTCTAAATGTTGTAGAAACTTAATTTGCTGTAAAGTTGCTTTGCAATGATTTGTATCGTGAAAAGCGCTGTACAAATAAACTTGACTTGACTTATGTTGTAATGTATCTACAATTACACCCATTTCTTACCTATGAAACTTATTTGAATTTCATATTAAATGCAAGACAAAATTAAAAAACAACATACAGAAGCTCAGTTCCCGGGGGATGGGGGAATTTTGACACTTTTTGAAAATTCGCCTCTTTACTTAATGCTATAATTTTAACACAAAGTTTTATTTTTCACCCAACCATCTGTGTGTAAATTAAAGTTTACAGTGGCCGCTTGAACAAAACAACTTGTTTTGAAACTGAATGAGATGATAAGTGGCGGCATGACCAGCCACACACTGGTTCCTATATCCATGGCAACAGCGACTCTCTTTGGAGTCTGGGCTTATGGGTAGTGCAGTAATTTACCAGTAGATCTGCAATTATTAAACAGTTTTTTATTATTAGTCCTTTTACATTTTTGTTACAAAAACAATTTATCCTCCTTTTAAACCAGAAATGGGAATTGACCTCCCAGGTCAATTATTGAGCTGCAGGTTTAGGCTCACTTAAGTGACTGCACGTAATTAAGGATAATTTAATTATTTAGCCTGACATATTTACCGTTCCAAAATGTTCTATGTTTCTTAAAAATAAAATATATTGTGTTCAGTGGGAAAAAAAAAAGTAATTTTTTTTTTACCAGACATTTAAAAATAGCATATTTTAGAGCTGTAATCGCAATACCGGGATACCGTGATATTTTTGATCTAAGGTTATCATACCGTCAGAATCTCATACTGGCCCATGCCTAATTCGGAGGATTAGAAAATCAGTATAAGCCTGTTTTACCAGTGTTGTAATAATTATTTTTAAGGCACTCTATGTTTTTTTTAAATAAATAGTGTATTAATAATAGTTCAAAGTATGAATAGTTTTTTAGTAAGATAACATAAAAAAGACAAGACCCTTGATGCCCTTTAAACTTTTCCCAATCAAACAGCAAGAAAGATAGAGAAAAGGCACCTTTGTTTATATTGCTTTGTGTAGAACAACGTTTGCTGCA